CTCTCTCTCTCTCTCTCTCTCTCTCTCTCTCTCTCTCTCTCTCTCTCTCTCTCTCTCCGTGTCACATGCCAGCGCCCCGCCTGCTGCGACATCGCCATGGCGCGCCTGTAACTTGTTCAGAATAAAGACAAGTCTATCGACATCCTCAAGGGAGTCTGTGCAGTCAACCTGCTCTCCTACTCTTTCTTCTCCACCATTCTCTTCAATCCCATTACAATTGACTCTTGCCAGCTCTCCTCTCTCTCCCCTCGAGAGCTTCTCAGAGCGGCCAGCATTTGCCCAGCACTGGGCTCCTGCATTGCTTTCTAATTGGAGGGCTCGGTTTGCAACCCCGGTGGTTGGGCGGTTCTCATTCAGTGGCACCTGTCTTTTCAACCAGCTGTAGGTTCCTGTTCTCTCGCAGCCCCTCTTGGCCTTCGATTATCGTCATCAGCAGTTCCAGAGCGATGCAAGTTCTCTCTATTCTCATTGCCTATCTGAGCCTACGGGACCTACTGTGGGATAGAGTCGTTTCGTTGGGACTCACCCGGGATGAAGCAGGCCTTTGTTGGCCCATCCGCCACTGCTCCTTGGAGCTGCTACAGTATATGGAAGTGAAGCAGGACTGGTCGCTGGAGGCTGTGAAGTTTCGCACAGTGCGCTCTTGGAAGTACGTCTCCCCGCCGCTGCAGTCATAGCATATGCAAATCTGCAGTCACATCACGCAAGCCAGCCAGGTGATTGGAGGAGCTGATGTTTTTCCTGGTCGATTTTGGCGAAGCGGCCCCACCCACCCTGGATTGTCCCGCGGTGTGTGGGCTTGCAGCCCAACTCTATGACTCTCTTCTAAGTGATCTGGCATCATCAGCCGCATGGGTTTTGTCTACTTCATCTGGATTTGGCCTGGCCCCGTTGCCACCTTTCGTCCTCTGTTCGGGTGTGCCTTTGTATGCCCCAAAATTTGAACTGCTGGAGCTGTAGTTTATCAACAGGCATATGTAGACCACTCAGTCATGAAGCTAAGGGGTTCTTGTTATGTCTTTTTCCCGCAGGAGAGCATAGGCTTATGTTACGGCATGGCCCACGATCAGATAGCTTCTGCCACACGCGACCCGGCTGGCAGACCCATGCCAGCCTGGCCACGCATTCTGGGGACACAAGTTCGGATTCTATCTCACCCAGTGACTGGTTAGACCACGCCCCTTCAAAAGAGAGTCGTTCTTTTCTTAGTTTCTAATAAAACAGCATGAATGGCCGTTCGTAGAGGGTAGGCCAGTTTTCTTTTGTCCCTCGTTTTACTCAGTACCAGTACGCGAGCAAGGTGCGCCGACTGAGGGCCTGCCTGCGCCCAGCGCGCCCAGCGCGCCCATTTTCATTGCTGATAAAATGCCTTCAGATGCCTGGGAGGAGGGTCCAGTAGCAAAGAGGATTGCATTCAATGCCTGAATTTGGACATATTTGTCTGCAGAATAGAAAATCGCGATTGATCTCCTTTTCTGCATATCGCGTAAATGTCGTCCAGATTCATTTCAAATTCGACCACGAGTTCAAAAGCCCATGCAACTTTGGGGGGCATGAAATAAACACGCAGGCGCTCATGCAGAACACGACGTGAGTGAGATGCTTCTGCGAGCCTTTGCATGCAGGGGCGAGGTCCATCGGGTAGCAAAGAGTACTGGATCTGAATCTGGACTGAATCTGGCCATAACAAACACGCAGATGGATCGCAGATGGATCGCAGAAGGATCTCACACTCACGTCGTGTTCTGAATGAGAACCTGCGTGTTTGTTTCCCCCCCCCGCCATGCGCTTTTTTTTTTTTTTTTTTTCCTTCTTTTTTTTCACATGTAGCCCCATAGACCACGATACAGATAGAACTCGCCACAGCACTGTCGAAGCGAAAAAAAGAACGAATGCATCTTTTCCCAGAAAGTGGTAAGATGCATCCCTTGCTATTCATTATAAAGGATGCATCTTGCCATTCTCTGCGTGAAGATGCACTCGTACTGTTCTCGTTTCGACAGTGGTGTGCCGTGGCAAGCGTGCGCTTTTGAACTAGTGGTCGTATTTGAAATGAAGGTTTGCATTGTCACAATCAAAACAAATTCATGAAAAAAAAATAAAAAAAAATAAATCATGGTCTGTTTATCAATTTATCTACGTTGACGTGTCCAACCATTCAGCCACATGGTTGGGTCAGGCTTTTTTTTTTTTTTGGGTCACGCATTGTTTTTCCTTTTTCCCGACATCCTACCTGTATTACCGTTGGGCGGGCAGAAGGATCTCATAAAGATTCTGGGCATACAATCGAGCCCAGCTCAGTTGGTACACCCATGAACTGTTGAAATACAGACCCATGTTCGAATCCTGCTTTGGACCTTGATGAATGGAATAATCATTGTGAATTACAAAGGGCCGGTCCGATCAACGAAGATATCCCAAGGCCATCGCCCTTTTAAAAAAATAAAAATAAAAATAAAAATAAAAATAAAAATAAAAATAAAAATAAAAATAAAGATTCTGGGCATCGCCACACACCACTCCACGGACCCCAAGAATTGCGATGTACATCGTTTCACGCATTGTTGCAGCTCTATCCAAGGGCGTATGGCCAACCCAGACGTGGCGTTGGGTCGGGCACACCCCTGACGGATAGAAACAATTACATTAACATTAAAGGAAAGTAACGGACCAATCAAAGATCGGGCCTATACAATATATAAATCGAGGAAAACGACACAAAGAAATCACAAAATCACTCGCATGCATAACCGTTGGATCTCCGCACGTCTACGGTATCCACGGCGTCACCCAATACCCTCTTCTATCCTATCCGTTTGCTAGTGGGACCATGCTCCGCAGGTGTATGCCGAACTTTCGCGGAAGATAAGTGTTCCGTTTTGTTTTTTTTTTCGTTAAAAAAAAAAGGCTACCGATAGGTCCATTTTGCGCATTGTGTGGCGAGGCCCTATATCTACATTTGCGAGGTCAAGAAGAAGTAAAAAAAAAACAGAAAAAGAAACAGAGTGCCGAACGGAGGCCGAGGTCGCGCTTGCCTGCCTGCATTCGCCGTTCTTGAGCATAAGACTCAGAAGATCGACGGCCAAGGACGAAGGAAGCAAGGATCTGAGGAAGGGGTTACCTTGCGCAGAGTGTGTGCGCCCCACCCCACGCCACCCGTACGTCATGCGCAGGGCTGCTGACGTTCACACCGACCTCGCGCAGGGCTGCTGACGTTCACACCGACCTCGCTGCACTTCTCTCAAGTGGCCTCCTCGCTCCACACTTCTCTCCAAATATGCAAAATCAAAATGAATCCTCACGCTAGAACAGGGAAAGATACGCGGCCATATTTTTTATCTTTTGAAGTTTTGAGCATGTGGAGAGAGCAGTGGAGCGAGGCCCAAGATGTGTAAAATGGCGGGTGTTTCTTCACCTGGAAACTGCAAAAAGATGCTACAAATTTCTTCTCTGGTCTCACTCCCGCTGCTGGGCGCCAAAGTAGAAGAAGAACACATTGAAACTGCCGAACGTTGTCCATCACTGTCGTCCCAGACGGCGCGCTGCAGAATCTCGAAGAGCTCACGGTATCCCGGTATCACGGTATCCCGGTATCAGGTCCGAACGCACGCATCAGCACGAAAACCTCGGAGCCGGAGTCGGGAGTCGGGAGTCGGGAGTGTGGGTGGGGATCGGGATGGGGTAGGGAAAAGAGGGATTGAAAGGAGGAGGAAGCAGATGAAGAATGGAGGTGAAGGTGGTCGTGCCACGTGGCAATCAAGTCGGGATCGAAGGGCGAGGAGGAAGCGAGTGGAGAGAATACTACCGCAGGGGTAATGTGGCCTTGGGGTCTGATGTGCTGGGGGCACGAACGCAAAGAGGAGAACGCGGAGGAGGAAAAACAAGGAGGAGCAGAAAAGAAAAATGAGGAAGAAGTGATGATGGTGACGAGTAGTAGAAGAGAGGCGGCAGGGAGTAGGAAAAGGCGGAAGCGAGGGAAGGAGGTGGAGCAGGGAGAAGAGATAGGAGGGAGGGGGAGAAAAGAGGAGCGGAGGAAGAAGATGAGGCCGAAGGAGGAGGGAAGAAGACGGGCCAGAGTAGAGAGGAGGAGGGGAGGTGCATTTTGCCGTAGAGACGTTAGGATCGCAGGCGCAGCAGGAGGCCTTCCAGATAGACCGAGGAGGGAGGAGGAGGGAGGAGGAGGGCAGGAAAGAAGGAAGAAGGAAGAAGCCATGGAAAAACAGAGGAACTAGAGGGGTTTTGTGGCCATCGTCTTGGCAGTGGATGGCATGTTGGATCGAAGGAGGGTCAAGAAGGAGGTGAAGAGGAGGAAGACGTGGGGAAGGCGGGGGGCGGATAAGGGCAACGGTGATCGTCGTGAAAGACAGGTAAGTCGGTAGCAGAGGAGGTGTAGGAAGCAGAAGAAGCAGAAGAAGAAGACCAGCAAGAAGATGAGGGAGGTGTAAGTCGAGGTGAAACCAGCTATGGTGTTTGCCGATTAAGATCGACCAGACTGTAGGAGCGCAAAACAGGGGGAAAGAAGCGCAGAACAGGGGAAACGAAGCGCAAAACAGGGGGAAAGAAACGCAAAACAGGGGGAAAGAAGCGCAAAACAGGGCGAAAGAAGCGCAAAACAGGGCGAAAGAAGCGCAAAACAGGGGGAAAGAAGCGCAAAACAGGGGGAAAGAAGCGCAAAACAGGGGGAAAGAAGCGCAAAACAGGGGGAAAGAAGTGCAAAACAGGGGGAAAGAAGCTATGCCTTTGCCATCGAACTTTAGTGTTCAGAGTTCGATCTCATTCCATTGAGCGCTCTCTTTCTTGTCTTGCGATCGATCGTCTCTCGTCGAAGAGTTGCCCACAGTGACAAGTCGAGCGGCGAAACAATCTGCACGTGTAAAACGTTTTGTCACTCTCTAGAAGAGTAGGAGAGAACGAACTCCATGCATGCAACATGCAAGCCTAGTGTGAAACACACACACTCAAAGCCACAAGATGATAGAGCTTTCTCTTGGTATGTTTTTCACACATTCTGCTATTCAACTGACTGTTGGTGTTTTTTTTTTTTTTTTTTTTTTTAATGGTTTGTTGTGCGCATCCAGTTGCCCGAGAGCATTGCGAGTACAAGTGTCAGGAGGCAAAGTACGGGGAGCGCCAAGAGACGGGAGCGAAAGGCGAATGCCGCAGCTCTGCTGAAGGAAACGAGCCGAAGCAAATTTACGACCTCCTTTTTTTGGACATCGATTTTGCCGAGTGCTACCGGTAGTTGGGCTTATCCAGTGATGCGATTCGAGAGACTGGCCTTTGTTGCTACCTGCGTGCACATCGGGGCAATCATGGGCCGTCTGTGAATATGGTGCATTGAAAGAAGCGGGCTCGGAATGTGATTGGTTCGTCGGTGCAATCACTACTGGCGGTGGTGTGTTCACTCGAAATGCTGGGACAGGATCGTTGTGCTGTTGTTGTTTGCAATTCTCTGCAATCTGACCGGTCAGCACAGTTAACTGGCACTGGCCTTGTGTTGATCAGTGATCAGTGAGCGGGGGATTGTGTATTAGGAGGGGCAGGTGGTTTGTTCCTTCGCATTGTCATCGTCATTGATTTAGTCGTCACAGGTCGAGTCTTTGGGGACTCGATTTTTTTAATTCGGCTGACTTGGTGTAATGGCGTTGCAATACTGTAAATAATGAATGGTGGTGTGTTGAGAATCATGACTTGTTGAATCCGATTGGGGTCCGGTTCTTCTCTAGGTGACCGTAATGCGCTGCCTCGTGACGGTCTCATTAGCAGCTGTTGCACCACTTTTGACTTTTTTTTTTTGTTTTGTTTTTTTTTTGTTTGTTTGTTCCGTCGAACTCTTTTCTGTTGACGGCTCAGGATATCCGCTTTTAAAGTTGGTGTTGCATGGAAGGCAGGCCATTGACGACTTCAGAGTGTTGCGCGGTGGACACGAGTGTTCTAGACTTTCCCCGTTTCCTCCTCTCTTCTCCCTCTCTCCTCCCTCCCTTCTCCCTCTCTTCTCCCTCTCTTCTGCCGCCCCTTTCCCCCCTCCCCCCGTGGCCCTTTGCCTCGCGTCCCTGTGTCTGGTCGGAGTTCTTCCAGGGACAGCTGGCAGAATTGTACGTCTTCTTGCGTCCCAATGAAGAAGCTGTTAACCGGACAGGCTTGCAAATCGGCGTGTTTCCGTACCGAGTTGTACATAGAGGGGGGGATCCTTCAGTGGGAGATGGTGGAGTTGCGTACCACGTGTTGACCGTAGAGGACTTGCCGTGAGCGCACAATCGGCTTGTTTGAACTTCCCGGGATAGATATAGAAGTCGAGGAATCAGCTGTGCGTCGAGTAGACGAGCTGGGTGTGAGTGAAATTACCCTGTCGTTTTTTTCTCTCTGTTCTTTTTCTCATCTTCCTTTCCTGGGTATTCTCCCATCCTATAACTCTGACATAACCCCAACCCCTTGTATTCACTGAGATGGTTGCGTCAATACACGGGCTCAGAAGTGCCCACGTGGCCGCGTAGACACGCAAAGAAGCGCAGACAAACTCACACACACACACAGACACACACACASAGAGAGAGAGAGAGAGAGAGAGAGAGAGAGAGAGAGAGGTATTGCCTTGGTTTGTGCAATGAGGGGGGAAGGCGGCAGATCGGAGACGGGTAGACCGCGAACTAACGAGGAGGTAGCAGTGAATATTGGTAGTGGGCCGCCTGTCGGTGCCTCTCCTAAAGGCAGTGGCGCACCTCCACCGGGATTCGCCCAAGGTGACTTCGACGATAAAACAGCTTACACTCTGACATTTCAGAACCTGACATACAAGGTGACCGTGAAGCAGAGCAGCGGTGATGGAGGCAAGACACAGAGGGACTTGTTGAAGAACATCAGCGGCGAGGCTCGTCATGGGGAAATCTTGGCCATCGTGGGTCCATCGGGAGCGGGGAAGTCCACACTCCTCGATGCGCTTGCTGGTCGGATCACGGCCTCAAGTCTGGAGGGCGTTATTCTGGCCAATGGCAAGCCTGTGGACGGCAAGCAGTTCCGCAAGCTCTCGGGGTACGTTATGCAAGATGATGCCCTGTTTCCGCATCTCACAGTGAAAGAGACGTTGCTGTTCAGCGCTCGTCTCCGGCTTCCTGGGGACATGCCGATGGACGTGAAAGCGGCGCGCGTCGACATGCTTATCGCGACGTTGGGTCTTCGTGACTGTGCGGACACACGGATAGGCAACGAGCAAGTCCGTGGGGTATCAGGCGGAGAGAGGAGGCGCGTCTCCATCGGTGTGGATCTGATCCATGACCCCGCCGTTCTGTTCCTGGACGAGCCGACGTCTGGACTGGACAGCACCTCGTCCCTGAACGTGGTCCAGAACTTGTACCAGATTGCGACCAATCGCCGGCGCACCATCTTGATGACCATTCACCAGCCTAGCTTTCGCATCCTGGAGCTTATCCACAAGTTCATGATCTTGTCACGTGGCTCCTTGGTGTACAGCGGTACTTATCCTGACCTGTCGATCTTTCTGACCGACTACGGCAGACGCGTTCCCGACCATGTCAATGTGATGGAGTTCGCTCTGGATCTGATCGAGGAGCTGCAGGACTCGCCGCAGGGGATTGCTCGCCTGGCCGAGTTCAACTCTACCAGATCCAAGATGCAGTCTTCGTTGTCCAGCTTGAGCAATGTCGGACATCTGGCCGACGACGTAGACTACGCCACAGGTCCGTTGATGGAGACGTTGACTCTCTGCCACCGCAACGTCGTAAACATAGTTCGGACTCCGGAGTTGTTCGTGTCTGGGCTAGGACTGATGATCGTGACGGGATTGGTTATGGGATCGCTTTTCTATAACGTGGAGAACAACGAGAGTGGTACGTCCGACAGGAAGTCCTTCTTTGCCTTCGCCTGTGCCCTGCTGCTGTTTGGCGCCGTCAGCGCGCTGCCCGTTTTCTTGCTGGAAAGGAACATTTTCATGCGGGAGACGAGCCGAGGAGCCTATCGCACTTTTTCCTACGTGGTTGCCAACGGTGTGGTTTTCCTCCCCTTCTTCTTCATCCAGGCCTTGCTGTTTACTCTGGCTTCTTACTTCTTGGTCGGGCTTTCTCTTGAACCTGCTGCCTTTTTCCTCTTCACCACCACCATCTTCCTCACCATCACCGTCGGCAATACGTTCGTCACGTTCTTGAGCTCTCTGGTGCCCGACTTCATCGCCGGCAACACCATCATCACTGCCATCACTTCTTTCTTTTTCCTCTTCTCTGGGTTCTTCATTCCTAAGGCCGACATTCCCGACTACTGGATCTGGTTCCACTACCTCTCCACGTTCAAGTACCCGGTAGAATTGCTGCAGAAGATCGAATACAGTCACATCGACAAATGGGGCAACGGGACCTCTGGCAGCGACGAAGCCCGAAAATTGGGTTTGGGGGGTGTGAGTGTCAGAGTCAACCTTGCCGTGCTTGTAGCGATGGTGGTTGTGTATAGGATCCTCTTCTACGTTGGTCTTCGTGTGAGGAGCTCCAACATGCGCAAGTAGCTGTACAGTTTTACAAAGATCAACTCCTTTTCTTTTCTTTATGTCCATCTCCTTTTTCTCTTTGGCGGGAAGGGGGGGTCGTTTGTGTCCCCCCCCTCCTCCTTCCTGCCTGTATCTCTTTTTCTTTGGCGGGAGGGGGTCGTTTGTGCCCCCCCTTCCCCCCCTCCCCCCTTCCTGCCTGTATCTCTCTTTTTCTTTGGTGGGAGGGGGTCGTTTGTGTCCCCCCCCCCTCCCTCCTGCTTGTATATTACTAGACTAGATCTTCTCTTGTTTTCATTGGTCTTCGGTGCGACACGAGGAAGTAGTGAAATTTCACAAGTTTTTACTCCTTTATAACGTCACATCACCCCAATTATTGTGGCCATGGCCACATTACTTGTCGCTCTTAACAACCAACTTCAACTTGTTCTGAGACTGAGTACAGCAATTGTCCGAAAACGGTGTGCTGTTTCTCTCTGCGATTGGACACTACTTTGGATGCACTCTTCTCTCGAGTGAGTTATTCGCGGGCAGGGTTGGCTGGTGTTGGTTGTGACATGACGCATGGTGGGGTCATCCTGTCCATGGGATGATGACCGGGCTTCGACGGTTGGACTGTCGGATGGCACCGGACTTGTTCCAGGTCCCGAGGACCAGGGACCGTATCACCGCGGACCCAGGCCGGCAGCAGCAGCAGCAGCAGCAGCAGGGATCTACTTCATCTACGAACTGAGTCACTCTGCGCACCTTTCCAGTCCCTAGGTAACTCACTGGCTGCTTGGGATCGATGATCAAGAAGGAGGTTGGAAGGACAATGAAGGGCTAAACAGGCTCGTGTGGCACATCCAGGGTTGCGGTTTTTCAGAGGATTGGTGCCTATCACAGGGGGGACCAGAAGGAAGACGAGACACCCTCACCCAGGACGGACAATGCTAGGGTTGCGGTTTTTGAGAGTGTTGATGCCTATCACAGGGGGGACCAGAAGGATGAGGAGACTCACCCAGGACGGACCATGCGAGGGTTGCGGTTTTTGAGAGGATTGGTGCCTATCACAGGGGGGACCTGAAGGAAGAGACGGACCATGCTAGGGTTGCGGTTTTTCAGAGGATTTGTGCCTATCACAGGGGGGACCAGAAGGAAGAGGAGCCTCGCCCAAGACGGACCATGCTATTTTTGCGGTTTTTGAGAGGAATGGTGTCTATCACAGGGGGGACCAGAAGGAAGAGGAGACTCACCAAGGACGGACCATGCTAGGGTTGCGGTTTTTTGAGAGGGTTGGTGCCTATCGCAGGGGACCAGAAGGAAGAGGAGACGCACCCAGGACGGACCATGCTTTCAGAGGGTTGGTGACTATCACTAGGGTACCAGAAGAAAGAGGAGAGTTACCCTGGGCGGATCACACTTTTGCTGGCCCTCCGGGCGCTTGACCCGGAAGCCCACACACGGTAGATGTGGCCAGTGCTTGGCCGGTCACTGCAGGCTGTGGCCCTTCTCTCGCCGGCCCTTCTGGAGCTCGACCTGCCGCCGCAGTCAGAGCGTACGCAAACCTGCGGTCAGACAAGGCGGCAAGTGAGCAGATCAAGCCAAAACAGAGAAGTGGTCACATTGCCAGATTTTGGGGCGAAGCCGTCCTGCCCACAGCCTAATTTCCTCACCCTAGATTTCCCCGCAGTTTGTGGGCCTGTGGCTCCTAGAGCTCTGCTACTCCACTCCAATCCGCTTTCAAATTGGTGATCTCCTTCAGTCGTAGGAGCTCGCTTCTTCCTCCATCTGCCTGCCTTCGCTCATTCGCTCGTTCCACCATTCCCTGCGATATGACACAATCACTTGTGGGAGGATCGAGGGAAGGGATGCTGGCTTCTTCCTCCAGCTGCCTGCCTTCGCTCATTCGCTCGTTCCACCATTCCCTGCGATATGACATTACTTGTGGGAGTATAGAGGGAAGATCGAGGAGATGGGATGCGTTCAGGAGAGGTATGTGGTCTCTGGCAATCCTCGATAGAGGGAGGAGATGGGATGGTTAGGACGTATGTGGGCCTGCAGCCCCATCCTTGCTACCCCCTCTTGTGTCATCATACGCGACCTAGCTTTTGCCTATTCTATATCTGGATTTGATTTGCACTGTGCAGTACAGTGTAGTCATGGTGAGAGTCCACAAAGATAATTGTTTTCTTGTACGCTTCAACGAAAACTTTTCTTACCCAATTGGGTTGAGATGAGAAATATGTGCGAGGAAGCATGCGAAACCCATCCTGCGCCAGCTTCCCTCCTCGACATCGGCGCTGGGAAGGAGAGGGAAGAGGATGACCAGAAGAAAAGGCGACAATGCCATCCTCTCCCTCCTCTTTTCTCCCTTCTCCCAATGACCTTGTCCCACTTGTGAAGGAAGCAGAGTCTGTCTCTCTGTTTCTGTTTGAAGTGCCTCTTCGGCTTCTTTCTTTGTGCAAGGCTTTCTTCTGGTGACCTTGTCCCACTTGTGAAGGAAGCAGAGTCTGTCTCTCTGTCTGAAGTGTCTCTTCAGCTTCTTTCTTTGTGCAAGGCTTTCTTCTGGTGAATGCTTCCTCTCAATTCTCTCTTTTTTTTTTTTTTTTTTTTTTTCGGTAAATGGCATCCTCTGATTGATAAGACTGGACAAGATATGGGTGGGCTTGATGATAAGTGGCCCTCTTCTGCCTAATGCAAAGAACTATCATCATGGCCGTATCGGACTGGTAAGACAGCCTGTATGCATTCATGATCACAGTGACACAGCAAGTTTTTGCCTATTTGGGAGAAGCAAATGCTGTCTATGGCTGCTTTCCTTCGTTGAGTTTCTTGTGTGGGTTCATTTTGGGTTGTCCCTCTTTAAATGATAAGAGTCTTTGTAGTGGACGCTGAACCTGTTTTCAGCAGCCGATGACACCCCTACGCTGAACCCGTTTTTCAGCAGCCGATGGCACCCCTAACGGGGCGTAACTGTTGGAGAGATGGTCGCAAATGGATGAAAAACTCGAGGGACTGATGGTCCACGTTTGCATTTCTCCTCCAGTCTCCTCTGCTCCTGTCAGTATCGACCTACCACGACGCCTTAGGGTCGAAATACAGACTGTTGACTTTCTCTTCCTTCTCTGTAGCCAGAATGCATGGGCATTGTGATTTTATTGGTACACCGACTAATGTAATGAACCCTGTCTGGCAGATACAAGTCGTCAAACATTAATAGTCTCATTATCTGCATCAAAGTCTCCAAATCGTGAAGTGATATCTCAAACAGTATCTCCTTACCATCAAAAGAACAATGATAATAAGTATATTCGTGATCACACACAATAGTGCCACGTGGCAGTTTTATCTCGTGAAGACCATGAAGACATAACAGATTCCAGACACGATGTCAACCTCAGGTGAGTACCCGACCTCCTTCATCCACAGATCCCGATCTTCCTCCTCCTTGCAACCAGTCACCTCATGTAGACAGCGTGGACAATGCCATGTCAACGGTCGAGACAGGTGGCATATGCCACATCAGCAATGGAGACCAGTGGAAGCACCACATCAGCATGCAATGTAGACCAGAGGTACTGCCACATCAGCATGCAATGTAGACCAGAGGTAGCACCACATCAGCATGCAATGTAGACCAGAAGTAGCGCCACATCAGCATGCAATGTAGACCATAGCGCCACATCAGCATGTAATGTAGACCAGAGGTAGTGCCACATCAGCATGCAATGTAGACCAGAGGTAGCGCCACATCAGCATGCAATGTAGACCAGAGGTAGAGCCACATCAGCATGGAATATAGACCAGAGGTAGTGCCACATCAGCATGCAATGTAGACCAATAGTAGCACCACGTCAGCATGCCACCTCAGCAAGCCTGGCGCACAATGCAGAAAGCGCCAGCACGCTGCCTCCACCTCGTGCCATCATCCGCATTGCCAATGCACAGCCAGCGTCTAGCCAGCGTCGAGCCAGCAAAATGCCAGCCTCTAGTTAAAGTTGAGCCAGCGTCGAAGTAGCATAGCAAGACTGAATGCTTGACTCACTCGAGGCCAGCCTTAAGTAGCAATGGTCGAGGCTGTCCGGCCTCGGGTGCTTTTCCCACAGTCGTCCAGGTTGACTCCCAGCTGAAGGCCCAGATTGTGCAGTTGCAGACTTCTCCCTTGGACCTGATGCTGTCTGGGTACCTGCATACAAACAAGTGTGTGTGCTTGACCAGCGGCCTGGTCTAGGTACCTTTGGACTTTGACTGTTGGGGTCCCGACAGTTGACCAAAGTCAACTGCCGCACGTCCAGCCCCTGAGTCCTCGTGTGGGGTCTTTTGCCTCTGTTTCGGCCTGGGCTGAGGGCAGCCGAGTTGGCCCTCAGTTTTTCCACAGACATATGGCATGGGTTAGTGCAATCATCAGTGCTTTGCTGGTTATGTCGATGTCAGGTTGGGAAACTACAAGTTTTCGGAAAAAATGCTCTGCAATCTTTCTTTCTTTTTCTTTGTCTTCTTCGTCTTCTTCTTCTTCTTTTTTTTTTGAGACACAGGCCCTTCTATTCTGGGGGACACCAGTCCGGTTGCTTATCCACCGGCCAGCATGACAGACAAAAGGTTGAAAAGTACACAGTAGGAAAGAAAAGGCACAGCCAAAGGGGTGTCAAGTCTGGTTGGCACCAGGATCGCCTGCGGCGGGCGTAGCAGCAGCCCGAACTCGAACTCGAGGCGGAAGTGCCGGGAGGCAGCCCTTGCACCCTGTCGCTCTTCCCCTCCCCGTTAACAGAGCCCAGCCGCTACGGACTGCCACTCGTACTCCCACACTGACATCCCCGCAGTCTATCTCTTGTTGTCTTCTCTCCAGCATCTCATTGTTCACCCACCTCTTCTTGCCTACCCCTCCCCTTTCTCTCCCCTATCCTCACCCACCCTTCCACCAACCTCCCTGCACTCTGTCTCTTGTTGTCTTCTCTCCAGCATCTCATTTGTATGTATCTACTATTAGAACACAAGATGAGGGAGGATGGAAAATGAGGGAGGATGGAAAGGGGGTGGAGTTCTATAGGAAGCAAGGGGCAGGGGGGGGGAGAAGGGAAAGAAGAGGGAAGTGGAGTGGCAAAGAACAGAACAGAGGAAAGACAAACTTCAGAGGGTTTTCAATACTGGCTGCTGGGAATTTTGAGTAGAGCAGTCAGTGTATCGACAATACTGGGTTTTCAATACTGGCTGCACAAGAGGGCAGTCAGTGTTTGGGTTGCAGGGAATTTTGAGTAGAGCAGCAGCCGTCCAGACAGGACTGGTTAGGGTGCGGACGGTTTGAAGCACTGCATCGAATTCTCGTAGTTGCAGTTGCTGCATGGAACAGCACGGAATAAACAAACGTCACAGGCTACATGGCTCCTGCATGCTAGGAACACAGAGGCACGCCGACCACAATTGTGTGAGGACTGAGCCCTCACGGGGCCCCAACAGACATGCAATTGTTATTGGCTGTGGGCCCCAGCAAGCATTGTGCCCGCCCTAAGTGAAGGTGGGCCTGAATATCCTCATAAGGCCTACTTTCAACATTTTCTATACGTGGGTACTCAGACAGTTGCATCCCGCCAGTTGGTTACAGAGAAACGTTCGCCTCCAGGCTCTTTCCAGCAACAAGGCTGCGCTGTACAGTTGAGCCCAGGGCTGGGTGGTTGCGCCCTAGGCACACGCAGTGTGAGGCCGACACATCACACAGCGGCCACGAACGAATGAGAAAGAAGCATTGCCGTCACACAGCCTCCGTGAGCCAATGAGGATGTGGCCAACACTTGGAGCCTGGAAGGCTACCCGTATGTGACCAACCGAAGAGGGTCCAGGCCCTTAACTGTAGAAGTGGGCCTGGGCGCAGACACTGGGGCCTGACTGGAAGCTACTGGAAACTTCCCCAGCCAGGCCCACACCGACACACACAGGGGCTGCACTTTCCATAAAGGAAAGAGGCCAGCCCAGGCGAAGGCATTCTGGCCTAGGCAGGCAATGCGGACACTCTGCTGCGTTGCTGCGCAAGTGTCTGCATGGGCGCTGCTGGTCGGACACGCGCACGGGTGCAGTGGTGAGACGGGCGCTGCTGAGGCAGCAGGTGCACAGCAGCCATAGCCGGGCAGCTGGGGCTCAGGGCAGGTGATGGCAAAGGTGGTCTCGGGTAGAGGAGAGAGAACGTACCTGGTGTATGCTGGTGGTTGGCATTGGCGTCGACGTCACGTACATTGGTCTTTGACTTCAGAGTGATTCAAATTGCAAGAACATAGATAGGCTAGATAGGCCGAGTAGGATAGGCTGGGTGGTGGGCGCTGGGCGCCAGACATTAAGTGTGACATTGGATACAGTGTTGGTGTGACCAGAGAGTGGCGATATTGACATTCAAGCTCGTTGTATTGCTCTTATTTGGACGGTATCTTGGTGCATTGCACTCTCTGCTTGGTTCATGACTATCTGAGCTTCTTCGTGATTTTGCAACTTGGTTTTCTGTCTATCGCTCTCGCCCATATTCCTTTCCATTGGATAGGCATTGCCGCGCATGGGCGCGCACTCTAACAGCAATGCTAAGCTTGGGCGCGCACTCAAACAACCAAACTGAGACTGGGCGCGCACTCAAACAGCCAAACTGAGACCGGGCGCGTACTAAGACAGCTCGTCCGGTCCTGGGCACGCACTCAGACAACTTGCCCGAGCCTGGGCGTGCATTCGTCCGGTCCTGGGCGCGCACTCAGACAACTTGCCTGAGCCTAGGCGCATACTCAGACGACTTGCCTAAGCCTGGGTGCGCACTCAGACGACTTGCCTGAGCCTGGGCGCGCACTCAAATTTTTGCCTGAGCCTGGGAGCACACTCAGACGACTTGCCTGAGCCTGGGCGCGCACTCAGACGACTTGCCTGAGCCTGGGCGCGCACTGAGACGACTTGCCTAAGCTTGGGTGCGCACTGAAGTAAGGTCCTGGATTGACAAGGATCTTCGATGGGTCAGCCCTCAATGGGGCAGCTGTTGGCTTTCAAAATCGACAACGGGGTTCACAACTTGAGTACGCACGGGCGCGCTGGCTCAGAATCATTAGAAGCAGTGTACACAAATTGAGCACTCTTGGGGGTACTGACTTCAGCAAAGTCTACAAATTGAGTGCGCACTGTCGCACAAACTCAAAATCATCATTGCCAGGTTTACAGATGAAGTGCGCAATGTCGCACAGGCTCAAAATCATCAAAGTCGAGTTTTTGCATATTGATCGTGCAGTGTCACACTCAAGTTTGAGTGCGCACAGTCACACTTGCTCGGAATAATCAATGCTGAGTTTTCAAATTGAGTGCACGCTGTTACACATGCTCAAAATCGTCATGCTGAGTTTACAGATAAAGTGCGCACTGTCTCACAGACTCGAACTCATCAAGGTTGAGTTTTGC